AATTAAAAAGCTACCAGTTGCCTTTTAAATATCTTTTTAAGCAATCTGGTCATTGACATGAAATGATAGCGGAAATATGGCTCAGTGCCTCTTACTTTGAGGAAGATTAATGCTTGCTATGTTTGTTTCATCAACAGTTGAGAAAGCAAAACATGCCAGCTTCATTGACCCTAGAGTGGCAAGCGTTGAATATATAGTATTTTTCGATGCATGATTAAGCAATTGTGCTCTTTCAGCCAATTAAAAACTTGTGGTTTATGGGAATACACGTTAAGAAAGGTAAAAAAGAAAGTCAAAATAAACAGACTTCTATTCCATTTAAAAATCACGCTGGGCGTGGTGGCGCATGCCTGTAGTCCCAGCACTTGGGAGGCAGAGGCAGGCGGATCTCTGTGAGTTCAAGGCCAGCCTGGTCTACATAGTGAGTTCCAGGACAGCTGGGGCCACAGGGAGACCCTGCTTCAAAAAGAACAACAACAACAACAACAAAAAAAAAATCACAAAGTGGGAATTAAATCCTTAAGCAGTCCAGAGGGAAATTGACGTTTTAAAACAAAACAGCAAAGTGGATTCACATTTCAAAGTTATATCAGTGGCAATTTGAAAAGTCTTAAAAATGCCACAATAAAATAAGACTTGGCTGCTTCCTCTTCTTTTGACACTAATTACTGGCTTTTATAACGGAATTATTCTTACCGTAAAGATTAAGTACGACTTCCTATATGAAAAAGAACACATCTGCTGCTTGGAAGAGTGGACGAGCCCCACGCACCAGAAAATCTATACCACCTTCATCCTTGTTATCCTCTTCCTCCTGCCTCTTCTGTTGATGCTGGTCCTCTACGGTAAAATCGGTTATGAACTTTGGATCAAGAAAAGAGTAGGCGACGGTTCAGTGCTTCGAACTATTCACGGAAAAGAAATGTTCAAAATAGCCAGGTCTGTTTAAAAATTGTTTTATTAGTTGTGCTGGAAGGGACAGTTGCCAGGGATCCCAGAACCCCTAAGTAATTTAGCCTGAACGTCATTTGTAATTCAAATTGTAAGCATGAACTGACTTGAAATCATAGGGCTTTCTGTAGTAGAAAGAAAGGCCAAGGTCAGCAGCGATTCAAACAGAAGGCAGGGCTATGGGTAGAATTCCCCTGCAATGTGTAACACCATTATGTTTTCATCTGTGTGTAAATACGGCTTGGCAGGAACAGGTGTGGGGTAGTGTCAGGACCCAGTGGTCTTAGGAAGCTCTCCTCCCTCACTTCCAGCAACATGGTATATTTCTATAGGTCTGATCCTTGCTGCAGAAGAGCCTGAGTTCCTCACATGTACAAGGGCACACAGGAACATCTGTCCTTATTTCCCCCTGCTGGAACATTCTCATGTTAAAATACATGAGATTCCATGAAGGCCCTTTGAAGCCAGGGTATGCTTATTTAAATGATGGCAGCTGACACCTTGGGTTTTTACCTTAAGGCTGTGATATGTCATCTTATTCATTTTAAATCAAAATTTACTATTATGATATTTGTAATACCCGTGACAAGCTTAGTTGAATGACCATTAAAACCAAATCAAATAATACCCTAGATGGAGATGCCTCATGAGCTGATGGGATTAGTTCTTTAATTGTGCAGTGACCTCTAGCGTCCAGTTTGTGTAAAGAAAATATTTCCAGCCTTAAGAGCCCAGGGACTGTACACCTCTGCGTTGTAAAATTAGTTGTACCACTTCCTCAGAAGGGTCATCAGACTGAAATAACAGACGATAAATAAGGACTTTTAGACTGAAAGTAACAAGCAAATGTGTAGATCTTTTACATATGTAAATGTTTTTGAGGAATGAATTAGCTTGAATCCCTGGTTAACCATAATATTTCAGCATAATAAAAGACTGAGTTTCAATTTTATTCTCTAGGCTCATCACATTTCCTAAGTATTGATATTCAGCATTTCAGGTATAAACTGTTTTAAACACACTATGAATTAAAACTTTATCACTGAAGTGACATTCCTAAACTTAAATCCAGACACCTAAATAACATCCTGTGGTGTTAAGAAGCCACATTAGAGTTGTACCTGAATTAAGAATCAGCCTGAGTCTTAGCATTAAGTTTTAATAGCCAAGAGTGAAACTGAGCTCCCAGATCTGTTCCCTCTAATGGAACTGTGCTCCTGAGCCAGGCCTCACCCATACTTTTATTCAAAACTGTTTCCCTAGTATCATTTGGGGAAATACAAGCTTGGCTCCACCCTTCTCAGAGAATCTTGCAAGCCCTTTGATTCTTAGGTTTTAAAACATGTCATACACACAGTGTCAAGCCTTCTCAGTTCTCACCAATTTCAATAAGGATACAAATATGAAAATGCTGTGTTCAGTGCTTCGAATGTGAATTCAAGCACACCCACATTCATTCATCTTGGATGGAAGGAAAAGTGGGATTTCCAGGGATCATGGTCAGATGCCCAGGTCACAAGAGCACCTGGACCAGTGAGCATGTTTACATTACAAACAATAGATTTTGAGTTGCAAGGCTAAATAACCATTTCTCCAGATTCTGTCCATTTTGTAAGCCATTATTACAGCATCCCTTATTAGTGGCTTGACTGTGAATTAATCTTCTCTGGGGTTCATTTTCTGCCATCTGTCCAGTGACTTACCGGGAAGACTAATGACATAACCCAAGTCAGTAGTCTAGCAGAGTTCCCGACCTATGATGAACACACATCACAAGGATGTTTAGGATATGAAGACTGTAAGTTTGGGGATAAAAATCAATGAGAAAAGATGAAATCAGCCTACAGAGAGCTTCATGAACTTCACCAACATTTGGAAAAGCGTCGTGACCGAAATAGGCTCAAGCATGAATATATTTGCTATCAATCTGACATATTTGCCAAGGCAAGTTAATTGACCCTGTGTTTCTTTATGGGTCTAGGAAGAAGAAGCGGGCTGTGGTCATGATGGTGACTGTGGTGGCCCTCTTTGCTGTGTGCTGGGCGCCTTTCCATGTTGTTCACATGATGATTGAATACAGTGAGTGCCTGTCACTCTCTTTGGGAAGGATTTCTAGTTATCTTCTAGAATAGACAAGAAATAATGGAAACTGATTGGCATTCACTTGGGTAATCAAGTGTCAAACACTGAGTGTTTCTTTTGTATATTAAAGAACACTAGATCATTAAGTGGTAGGCAATTATGCATGAGTAGGACTATGTCTTTAATAATTACAAAAGACAAAAGAAAGTCTCCCATGCTACCTCTCCTCTCCCTAAGATGTTTACCATGGGGGGAAGTGTGGCATCTCTGGAGTGGTCTGTGTTTAGAACCTTGTTTGTACTTTGTGAATTTAATAGTACCTAGGATTTCAGTCAGATCCTTGGTGTATTCTCTCTGATTACCTGGAATTCAGCACGATTGTGTTTCTGAAACTCTGGTGAACCTTTGAAGAGAAATTGTTACATCTAGGGTACATGAAGCTTGGGGTCATTGAACTGAATGTTGTGAGTCCCATAATGCTTGCTGGGCACCCACTTATGCACAGAGTAAATACTTATTACATGGGGGGGGCAGGTATTCAGATGTCAGATGTTTCTCCCAAAGTAGCCATAAGAAAATTTCATGCCCATAGCCAGTTGAACAAGTTTAAGTCTTTGGTAAATACAAAGACTTTTCTTGATAAAAACAATAACCATTCTAAAGTACTACTTTATTTCAGGTAATTTTGAAAAGGAATATGATGATGTCACAATCAAGATGATTTTTGCTATAGTGCAAATAATTGGATTTTTCAACTCTATCTGCAATCCCATTGTCTATGCACTCATGAATGAAAACTTCAAAAAAAACTTTATATCTGCAGTTTGCTATTGCATAGTAAAAGAAACCTTCTCTCCAGCACGGAGGCATGGAAATTCAGGAGTTATAGTGATGCAGGAGAGAGCAAAGCGTTCTGGGGAAGAGAATCCAGTAGAGAAGATCAGAGGGGAAGCTTCTGGGAGTGGCAACACTGATGTCAACTTGTGTGAACAGCATCAGAAGAAGGAAAATTCCCAAGTGACATCTTGCCCTCTGTAGTTCTAAGTTTCTGAGAATCCTGCTGTAGACAGCAGGTATAAGCATGTCTTCATAATCAGCACCATTCATACTGTGATCTGAGAAGACAATTATTTTGAACAAAAGCCAAAGATCTTTTATATTTAAAATGAGGTAAAGCACTCGGAAGGTAGAGGCAGGAAGACAAGGACTTTAAATTCATCCTCAGCTACCCAGCAAGTTTGAGAGCAACCTGGACAGCAGGAGACCATGTTCCAAAAAACCCAAAACAAAATGGGAACAGCAAATAATGATGACAAGAAGAAGCAAAACCCTTTTCCATTTAAAGACATGAAGTACAATTTTGAAAATTATTGAACCACCTTTGTGGGTTCTAAAGTGGAGTTTTCAAAATCTTTATAAAAGTTAATGATCTTGGCTAGCAATTTTTGTCTATGTAGTCAATGTAATGTGACTTTTTATGTATTGCCAAATTGGTTGAAAAACATTAAAAATTTCTGTTGAATATTAATTGAATAGTTGAACAGCATGAGACTTTGAGTTAAGTTACACATACATTCTTTTGCAAATTAAAATATGTACAAAACTCATTAATTCCAAGAAGATAGAGAAGCAGCCAAATATCAAGTGCAGCTCAGTAACAGACATGGACTGCAGCATTATAATCCTGAACGCCCATTCATACGGTTACGGACAAGTCTCCTAAGCGTCTTTTACTCTCCATTTGTTTGGAGTTGATGAAGTCACCATGAAAACCAAAATGAGACACAGTAAGAAAAGCATTTCTCACTCTAAAACACTCAAATTCTGCAGCATTGCCCTGCTCATATCTGTAGCCTCTTCCTGCCCCACTTCCTTCCTGAGCCTTGTTCAAGTCCTGCCCAACTTTTCCCTTGTGCCTAGAACTACTTCTCTGCTCAAAAGAATAATCTGAGGAACCTAATTTATTGACTGACTGTGATATATACATATATGTATATATATGTATATACACATTTACCTCAAATATTTGTATTTTTAAACCATTTATTCTCACCAGTCAGATGAAGGACCTTTTCTTATAGAAGAGAGAGATTTAAAGAAGTTCATCGATGAGGGTATGAATGAACTGTAACTGTGAAATTTTGCTGGCTGGGCTGCCCAGCCAGAGTTAGATCAGGAAGAATGATAGAGTTCTCCACCCATAGTCCTTCCCTCAGTCCCTCTCTTCAGCCTTCCACTTCCTACATGCCATGGACTCAGGCCACCGTCAGTGCACACTGTTGTTTCCTCTTCACAGCTGAGATACCCAAAGGCAAGTCATAGCCTCATGGCCTCAGTGTTCCTTCTGCCTCCAGTTTTCCAGCCCTGATTCTTCTCACCTTTTGAGAAAAATAAAAAGCAGCCCAGGACTCTCAGGCTGCTTTGTGATTTAAACTCTGAAATCTGGGAACCCAAGAACTCAGGCTGCTTCTCAAGCTACAGACATTGCACTTTGTGTGTCAGTGAGGCATGCGTGAAAAAGGCAAAGATGAGCTAGTAGCCTTATGGGGGCAATGCCCGTGTGACACAAGACAACCAGCAAAGTGAAGAGTGGGAGGCCGGTATTGGGCTTTAAGAAACGGATGTCTTGGGTTATTTTTTGTAAACTGTCTACCTGTTGAGTGTAACTACCTTGTAGCACAGCAGTGATTTCATTAAACTTTAAATCAATTCACTGATATTGCTTATATTCACTTTGGGGCACATATTCATAAGACTCCATCTACTTCAAATATGGCCCTGAAAAGCAGATAAATCAGTGGTTACTGGACATGTAGTTATTGCAGCATCAAAGCATCCCCAAGTGATAGAGAGCTCGACCCAAAGCAGTTAAATATCAAAACAGCCAATATTTAAAATTGTAGACATCCTCTAAAGGCATTCAATGGCTAATGTCAATCACCTTTCCAGATGTTTATTGACCATTTGTATTTCTTCCTTTGAGAACTTTCATATACAGGATACTAATGCCGTTTTACCAGAATGGTGGAAGATTTACTTAAGTTGTTGTGTACTGGCTGCTCCTACAAATATTTCTTTAAATTTTGCTGTCTGGAAAATTTGTTTTTTATTGTGCATGTTTAATTTAAATGTCCATTAAAATATCACTAAATCTTTTGTTCCAATAATATAATTTTCAAAAAAAATGAAAAAATTTGATTCATAATTGGATGAAGATAAAAAACAAGTAAAAACTTTCTTTTGGCTAAAATAATAGAGGTTACATGCCTTGTTCAGTAGTAAACACAATGAGAATTTAACAAAAAAAATGGTCACTCTGAGAGCTGATAATGTATATTGTAAAAAAAGATAAAAATATTAAGAAAGTAATGTGATACTCGAGGGAATTTGGCCATTTTGGAATGGGAGGAGGCTTTTTTGAAGATGGTGAACAACGGGAATCATGAATAATAAAAATAAAAGTTGACAATACACTGGAAGGAAAAATGCCCTAAATAAATAAGGGTAATCCTTAAAGCTCCTAATGTATTTGTTAGAAGCTGACATATGGGATATTAAAATTTGTTTGCTCTAATTTTATTAAGTTTGATTATTTTATTTTAATTTTATATGTGTTTTGCCTGAATGTACGTTAGTACACCTGTGTTGTGCAATGCCCACGGAGGCTGAAAGAGGGCATCAGATCCCTTGGAACTGGAGTTATAGATGGTTGTTAATCTCCATGTGGTTGCTGGGAACTGAACCCAGGTCCTTTGAAAGAGCAGCAAGTGCCCTTAACTGCTGGGTCATCTCTTCAGCCCTTGCTCTGAAATTTTTGATAGATGTGGGATTGTTTTCATTTCCCATTGCTTACCTATTGTTCTACTTCAAACTTTCTCTAAAATATTTTATCTTTCAGTCTTCAAAATGTTTTTCCCTCCAGTGGCAAAATACATGTAATACAAACTTTGTTATCAGCGTCTTAAGTGGAAATCCAGCCTAGTTAAGCATTTTTGTAAGTATTACCTTCTCCGCTATTGGTTTGGCTTGTCTGCAAAACTGAATAACTATGCCTATTAAGTAATGTCTTCATATTTCCCCCTTTCCTTCCCCTGGCATCTACCATTCTCCTTTTCGTTCGTATGATCATGACTCTGCTTTCCTCTGGGGAGTGGAATTCTATAGTGCTTGTTTGTAATGACTGGTTTATAACAGTTAGAACTTTGATTTTATTTCCTCTCAGGCAATTTTCCACTTTTCCTCTAATAGTATGTATAAAGCAGCTGTAAGGATTTTTTTTTTTTAAGAATCAATCTGACAGTACTTAGATTATGGTAAATCTATATGGTGCCTATTTTTTAGTTTGTCATTTATAAAAAAACATGTAAAATTGCACAAATATCTGATCTTTCCACCATGTATTCAGTATGCAATGTCAGTTTGAGAACTTTTTGACAGGTATATCATGACACCCACTGAGTCATCAGATGGGTTTTAAATTTCTTTTTTTTTAAAAAAAATTATTTACTTGGGACTGGAGAGATGAGTCAGTGGTTAAGAGCTACTCTTGCAGAGGACCCAGGTTTGAGTCCCAGAACCCACATGGTGGTTAACAACTGTCCATAACTCCAGTTCCAGGGAATCTGATGCCCTCTTCTGACCTTTGTGGGCATTGCAGAACATGGGTGCACTTACATGCATGCAGACAATACATCATCCACACAAAATAAAACTTAATAAATAAAAATATTTTTGAAAATTATTTATTTATTTATTGGTTTATGTGGATGAGTGTTTTGCCTGCATGCATGTAAGTGCACCTGTGTGCAATGCCCATTGAGGCCAGAAGAGGTTGTTGGCTCTCTTGGAACTGGAGTTATTGACAGTTGTTAGTTGCCATGTGGGGACTGAGACCTGAACCCAGGTCCCCTGCAAGACCATCCAGTACTCCTAACCCCTGAGCCATATTTCTAGCCCCAGGTGTTTTAAATTTCTACTACAATTTTTATTTTAGTGTTTCCTTTTGGTTTTTCTTAGAGTTTCTGTATTTGCCTTAGCTAAACTATTCATGCATGTTGTCAATTTTCCACTAGAACCATATTAGTAATTAGGCATTTCATATTCCCTGCATGGTAACCTAACATCTGTGTCATCTCTGAGTCTGATTCTGTTGACTGCTTTTCCTCTGCAGACTTTGTTCCTTTTTGGTTTTCAGCATGCCTTCTACCCATTAGTTGAAAACCAACATAATACAAGAAGTTATAAATGAGTTGATGGTTGTGATTGTGCTGTTTCAAAATAGCCAAAAGTTGGACCATATTTGATGCTTTCTATAGTTGTAGATTTAGTGACTGAAATTCCCATAGTGTCCTTGCTTTTTGTCACCCTGTTGCTTTTGGGTTCCCTTAAAATTTTTTTAAAAAACATAGCCTGAAGCTCCTGTGCTGCATGTTATAGTGAGGTGACAAGGATTTGAGAAGGTTGTGAGTCTGCAATTTCATTATGATGTTTCTGTGTTCTACTGTGCTAGCACTGTGGGCTGAGTTGGGTTTCCATAAGACAGAAAGGGTAGGGGACTAACAGAGCAACAGCTGGCAAATGACCTGCTCGATAAGTGGAAGAAGATTCTGCTGGTGTATCTCCCCCGGAGAATGGGATTTTTAGAGGATACTGTTTTACATATTTCAAAATAGTTTTATCGTCTTCCTGCCACAAGGGGGATTTTCTTGTCTGTTCATCATGAAAACCTGGGACTTCTTGGAGGTGAAACCCATAAAATTCTGCCCCTCCATCAGAACTCCAGAGACCACTAATTGCTCAAATTGGTGGCATAAAATAATTAAATTAGCTCGTGCACATGTAATGAAACGGTCACAGGAGCGATGTCACAGCACGTTCACAGGGGCCATCTGTACTCAAAGGGGAGGGAAATACCCCAAAGTGAAGCTTATTGAGAATAATAGTGCTCTCTCTCTACAACACTGACATTTCAGCCAGCTAAATTGATAGTGGGAATTCAAAATTAATTTAGGTGCACAGTTAACATTGCATCACATTCC